CAACTAATAATCCAACTCAAGTATCAAACAATACAATAGTGGATCTCACAATGAACAACGAACAAACAAAGACCTAATAATTGACACTTTTACATATGTGGCTCGTATCTTCTTTAGGTTTAGATTATTTAATTTATAGCCGTTGTATGGACTGAATTTTGGCTTCAACAACACAACAAGGCAGTGCTGAGAAAGCTCCAAGATATTCTCCACAAAGTTAGGACTTCAATCATGAGTTTCCTAAAAAGTCTCCATATTTAGAAATTGAGAATACTCCTTGAAAACAAATAGAATCTTTTGATCCTTAAACTAAGCGCCACATAGGGTAGCATAATATTCCCAGAATATTCCGCATCTGTAACAAACTAAACGAATCCAAATGTCCAGTTGTATACAGTCACAATATCGAATGATTCTGGATAGGATATCTCGTTCAACATATTTTTCTGCATGATATAAAATCTTTATCAACATGTTGCAGTAAAACATAATCTCCTATTCCTCCATCTTGGACGCCACATAGGATTACTTAATATTCATAGAATATTTAGTAATTTAAATAAACTGTATCCAAACTGTAAAACCTGTAACAAACCAGATGTCCTACTCTTCTGGTTAGGACATCGCTTTCGACATGTTGAAATAGCAAGTTGAAACATCTTATTCAGCATGTTACTGCTAAGTTAGTTTTACCAAAGTTAATGCCAATCACAAAAACAGAGAATTAACATTGTTGAGGTGTTAACAAAACATAATTGGGTTGTATTATGATGGCAGTCTATTTTATTATGACTTTTGGATGATTTTTGTTTTTATTTTGAATTACTTTGGTTTAAGGCCAAGTACATATTAAATATTCTTGGATAATCTAACTCTCTGTCTTCATCTGTTGTTTTTATGGCTTGTCTTTTCAATGTTTTTGAAGTATCTTTTAATATTTATTTATTTTGTACTTCTTAACTGTGTTGGACTTCTTGAAGATTGTTCTTGAAGACTTCTTGGAATTCTAAACTATTTTACTACATTAAATACTCTTGGCTAGGTCTTTAAAAAACCCATTCTCTTCTCTTGTTTAAAACATCTGTTGTTACCTCTTCTCTCTGTTTTCCAAAAACTCTCTTTATCTGCTCACCACCCGAGGTAACCTCTCAAACTAAATTAGGTATGGAGAACCAGTTGGTTGTTATCGTTGAAGGTCGTGTTAACTTTGAAGAAAGGTTGGAGTATCTAGCATTTGCTAACCATCATATGGTTTCAAGTTTTGGATGGGATGAGTACTATGATATGCTTTATGATCCTACTTACCCAAATCTGGTTGTTGAATTCTGGGTGAATGCATCTATCCAAGTGCTGAATCAGAATGAAGTCATTTGTTCTAAAGTATCTGGTATTCCTCTCTTCGTCTCTCAAACTACAATTGCAAAGGAAATAAGATATGAGGACCATGGAATTCCTCCAGATATGATGTCATGGGAACAACATCTCCCCTTCTGCACCATCTTTAATGATTCATCTGACATTTCTAAAGCCTCCAATCTTTTACCTACGACATTATTCTGGTATCAAATTTTGGCCACAAACTAATTGCCAAAGAACAAGAATATAAATGTCTTAGATAGCTATGAAAATAACTTTCTTCTTCTACTTATCAACAAAGCTGCAAAGGTTAATCTCCCTTATGTTTTCTTTAAGTATCTGAAGAAGACTCTTCTATCCTTCAAAGAAGGAAAGACATTATTCATTCCTTATGGAAGAGTCCTCTCTAAACTATTCATGCAACAAGGAGTTGTGAAAACTAAGGCCGAGGTGGATTTTATAGTCTGGGATCATCAGCTAGAGCTACCAAGAGTCCGGAGAGCCTCTGACAATTCCCCTTTCAAGGTCAGGGCGGTCACTCCTAATGGATCTTATGTGTAATTTTTTTAATTTGTGTGATGTTTGATTTATTTTATCTATAATTTGGTTTAAGACAAAGTACTGGTACGTGTTTACACTGTTTGGACTCCATGAATTATCAAGTGTGATTGTACTATGTTATCTTATGATTATCAAATTTGTCGGTTTTCCATGTTTTTTTTAATAATTAGGTTGTATTTTGTATAATTGTATCGTTTATTATGTGTTTTAACCTTTTTAATAAAATTCACTACCAATTACTATACAATAGTTACACACCAAATACACATAACCGTTTTTATCAAATAACACTCAAATAATGACATGTTACGTCTTGGATTTGACATACATCTGTGATCTGGATATGTAAAACTAAATTGAGCTAACATCTGGCTTAAGTTCTCTTATATTCACATTCTCCTTCACAAGTTGAGTTCATCTCTAATCAACATGTTGCATACTCATCTATGTTGTTTCAAAATGCAACAAAACGTAAGTGATTATAAATTTCAAATATTAGGATTTGTGTTAATTTAGCATTGTTTTCTAAATTGATATTGAAATCCAATACTAAATTCATCATTGTAACAAAAAAATGAACATTTTTCTATGAAACAAAAATTTTCAATCTTTCTTTTTTTGATAAGCAACATTGTATTAACTTAGAGTACTAATGGAACTCTAATCCAAATACAAAACAAGATACCAAACCAGCCCTACAACAAAATCAGAACGATTTGAGAGAGCATAGAGAGTTTTTGTACCAATCATGAAAATTACAATTTATTTTAGAAACGGAATCAATACTATGCCAATACCAATAAATGGTTAATGTGTTAAACTTCAGTCAGGCACCGATGCCGCAACATTGTTGATTAAGATTTCATTCCTTTTGGTCCAAACTGTCCAACAAAAAGCCAACCACATGACACTTAACCATTCACAATCCACTATCACAACCCAACAATTCTCCTCAGAGTTGAAAACATAAAATGATTCAAGATATTCTCCTCAGAGTTGAAAATATAGTCATCATAAACACACACTTCTTGCCATACAACCTGCACTATATTGCATCTCATAAATAAATGATAAATGTCCAATTGCTGAAAACACATGACACACCAAGTCATGTGGATTATGGATGATGTTCCTATAACTGCCACTTTGATGGTAACTTATCCTAAAATAATCTCTAGCAAAACATTTTGATTTTGACATTGTTATGTTCAATTTCCTAATTATTTGCATCCATTACTTATCTGCAGGATATTTTAAGAATAAATTATCAACATAATTCACAATATAATACAAAATTTAAATTTAAATAATATCACAATATAGATTCTTGTTTATGCAACAGAAATGCTAACAATTCAATTAAAACCATAATCCCCATTCCATAAAACCTGGGTAAGAATTCGATAAAATACAAGCCTTAATCCCCAATTTCATAAATCATGCATAAGAGTTCAAATCAAATTTAATTTTAAAAACAAACCTAATCAACAAACCCATTATTTTTGGGTAAGAATTCGAAATACTATTTCAACATAAATACAAACTCTAATCCCTAAATCAATTGTTTCAAAGTAAGAAGGATTTAATGACTTCAATTTAAAATACAAATAATACCCAAATCAAACTTTTCTCTGTCAAATCAACTTGATTTTGGAAAAATTAAAGATTTCGATATAAACAACTATCCGTGAAAGGAGTGAATAGCTTTGAACCATTAGATGAGGGAATTGAACAATGAAGATGGAGGAGATACGATTGAAGTCTATCATTGATGGAATATGAATGATGATCGAAGAAGGAACAAAAAGATGGAGGACAAATAGATTGATTAAGAACTTAGGATTTTCAATTGGAAAAAAAACACGTAAAAAATGGATTTTTTTAATTAAATGTTTTTTAATTAAATGTCTTTTTAAAAAATGGTTTTTTTAATTAAATATTTTTTTAATTGATAAATTATTATTAAATTAATGAAGGACTGATTTACAATAAATAAAAGTTTAAGAAAAAGGCTTATAATAGATTGCCTGTATGGTAAAGATGATGCAGTAATTTAGGGTTTTGAAATCTTTTTTACTGGCTATTAAAAATGACTTTTTAAAAAAAGTCAATTTGCAGACTTCACCACATAAGCTCCGATTAAACAAAGCCTAACTTAACTTTCTGCCAGCCCAGCAGCAACACATGGACACAACAATCAGGCTGGTTATCAATTTTTATTTTATTTTATTTATATATGTATAAAAAAGGCAAAGTACAATTAAACAAACCCTAACTTATCTTTCTGCCACCATAGTAGCATCACAATGGGCACAGCAATCATGCTGCTTATCATCAGGTCAGGTAGAGTGTTTAACTTATCAATGACTTACGAATTGAAAGTGAATCAGATTTGGAACTGCGAGTAACTCAAAATATCCCTCATTATCATTATAGAGAAAACTTATCATTCCCTAAACTTAGCCTATGGAATTGGATTGTGAGATATTCTGTTGAATGATGAACTTTCTGTAATTCCAAGCTCGGTTACATTCTTGAATAAATTCTACAATCATTTTAATAATATTAACAATAATAATAGGTAAATTCTTATTAATTGATTTGAAGCGTTGACAATGACTTTGATCTGTACTTTTATTAACTTATTTATTTATTTTTGATTTTGAGGTGTACGTTTTCTAAGGAAAAAAAAAAAAAAAAACTACGTCGTTTTGCACACTGAAGAAAAAGTTTCGACATTATAACAACAAGTTCCCTTTGGTAAGTTGACTTTCTTTACTTAAAAACAATTCAAAACTAGTTTGTTAGTAATAAGTCTCATATTATGTCGACATTATTACAACATTACGAGTCTAATAAAATAAATCAACAGAGTCATATGAAGGCTACAAATTCCATTGTAGTTGCCGTCATTAACGTCTCAATCTTCTTATGTTCATATTCAAACTCTATGACCAAAACTTGAAAAAATTAACAGTTTGGTAAAAAAAATAAAATAACTTATCGTTGTTGCTATATGTATTGCATCGAATCACTAGTTTCCATTTACAAACATTCTATGCTCTTAGTTTCTAACCATTAAAATGGGAGCCAAAATAAATATCCACCAAGTGTTTGTTTTTTCTATCTTGATCTTTCTCATAATCCCAAGTCTAATAGTTGCGGAGTGCACATGCGATGAAGAAGATGAAGATAGAAACAAATCCAAAGCACTTCGTTATAAGATAGCTGCTTTAGTTTCAATAATGGTTGCAAGTGCAATTGGTGTTTGTATACCACTGCTTGGTAAAGTCATACCGGCTTTAAGTCCGGAGAAAGATATATTTTTTGTCATCAAAGCCTTTGCTGCTGGTGTGATATTATCAACCGGTTTCATTCATGTGCTTCCTGATGCTTTTGAGAATCTCACTTCACCATGTTTAAAGGAACATCCTTGGGGAGATTTTCCGTTTACTGGTTTTGTGGCTATGTGCACTGCTATGGGGACTCTTATGATTGATACATATGCCACTGCTTATTTTCAAAAGCAGTACTCGAAAAAGACACCGACACAAGTCGAGAGTCATGAGTCAACCTCAGATGTAGAGCAAAATGGACATGTGCATGTTCATACTCATGCTTCACATGGTCATGCACATGGCCATGTTTCTTCGAATCCATCATCAGAACTTCTTCGTAATAGGGTTGTATCACAGGTAATAATAGTATAAATTTATTTATTAACTCATATATGTTTAATTAATTCTTATTTAAATATATTCTAATGTTTTGCATTGATATTTTTTATAGGTATTGGAGTTGGGAATTATTGTTCACTCGGTTATAATAGGAATTTCTCTGGGTGCTTCGGAGAGTCCTAAAACCATAAGACCACTAGTAGGTGCGTTGACTTTTCATCAGTTCTTTGAAGGCATGGGACTTGGAAGTTGCATAACTCAGGTACCTTATATATATTATAATATAATATTTAATCCTTCGGCCATTGAAAATGATTAGTTATTTGTATAAACTCAGGTACTGTCCATATAATATACTATCTTCAGCTATAGAAAATGATTTAGCTCGTTCGTATCAAGTTAGTTGAGACCGTACGTCGGTGCATGGGACTATTTCTTGGTTTGAAAAAACAACAGGCAAATTAAACGACTTTTCATCAAAGTGAGAAGGATAAAGACACTTTAAGATATGACTTTTCAAACTTTGAAGTTTTTATGAAGTTTCAAAATTATAAGTACTGTTAACTTTTCATCAAAATGATAAGGATAAGACACTTTAAGATACTACTTATTTGACTTAGTAAGTTTTCGCGCATTTCTCCCAAGTATTTTATGTCCTATGCATTTGTTGGGGTTTCCTTGTTTGTTCCTATAACATATTTTTAAAAGATGACAAACTCCACTATTTTATATTCATAGATAAATCATGATTTGGATTGGAACTGTCTTATTATACATTTTTGTTAATTATATTTTAGAAACTGTCTTATTATTCTTTGCTGACTTTTTGGTTATTCAATTATTGCAGGCAAATTTTAAGAGTCTATCTATTACGGTCATGGGATTGTTCTTTGCTTTGACAACTCCAGTAGGGATTGGAATTGGCTTAGGGATTAGTAGTGTTTATGATGAGAATAGTCCAACAGCCCTTATTGTTGAAGGAATCTTCAATGCAGCTTCTGCTGGGATCTTAATTTATATGGCACTTGTAGATCTTCTTGCTGCTGATTTTATGAATCCAAGGATGCAAAACAGTGGTAGTCTTAGGTTAGGATGTAATATATCTCTTCTATTAGGAGCTGGTTGTATGTCTCTTATAGCTAAATGGGCTTGAGTGTGTATATAATTTTGTTTAGTTTTTCATTTTTCTTCCAAAAGTTTCATTTATAGTATATGCCTATAACAGTCAACGTATTGTGGGAGAGGGCATGAATATAAACTTCCATATGGGAGTTGAGAAATGAGTGCATATTTTTTCAATGAGGGTTGATTATTGTGTTATTTTGGATCACATTACGGTGTTGAAATTGGATCAGCGTCTTTTAATGATTTGTGTGTTGACCATTTACGATGTATTCCAAGGGTATAGTCCCTTTGGCTAGATGAGGTGGAGGTGGGAGAGCTTTGGTTGTTTGATATGTTATATTTACATTTGAGTATCTTTTATTTTGTGATCTTAGTATAATTCATTTCTTTTGTTTGTTAATATATATCTTAATTTTAATTAATTATTGCTTATGGAAAAAATAAGAGAGACTAAATTTAATACATTTGCAATTAATTTTAGCTTGAAATAAATAAAAGTTGATTTTTTCTTCTTATTATTAAGGACTGATTACTGGTCCAAAAGAAGCTCAATCATAAATCCTGATCATTCCACTAACGTACTAAAAGTGTAATGCAACTCTACTTTAGAGCTCCACACTAGACCGACATCAAGGGTTGATGCTTATCATTAAATGTCATCAGACGATATCCCATATTCCACGTCGAAATGGTAGAAACGTCTATGTTTTATCCAAATTTTGTCCCTAAGACCCATTTTCATCTCATATTATCAATATATCAATATCACTTATTAGGGTTGGTTCTCCCATTCTATTCCATCCTATCTTTAAGTTTGCTCTTGAGGGATCACCAAGCACCTTGAATTGTAGATCTTATACATGTTTTTTTAGACTAACATGAAATATATATATATATATATATATATATATATATATATATATATATATATATATATATATATATATATATATATATATATATATATATATATATATATATATATATATATATATATATATATATATATATATATATATATATATATATATATATATATATATATATATATATATATATATATATATATATATATATATATATATATATATATATATATATATATATATATATATGTCTCTTTGAATGTTCATATTATAGATGATGACATAATTGCATTCATCTCACCATCTAACCTATGATTTGAGGGGTGGTCGTCAGTCAAATGGTTCTTCAATGGATTGCAAGAGTTCAAGCTTCAAGGCTATATGTATGATATCAAAGATTTGTGATTCAAATGGCTCGCTTGCTTTATTTAGGTCAAGTTTTCCTCAAAGTTGGTGGTGGAATTCATCAAGAAGATTCATATATTCATGTGTTTATTTTCATGCCTTCTTCAACAAGCTTCATTGAGATTTTAGCTCCATCTTTGAGTGTGCTTCAAGAGAACATCATCCCAAGGCCTATTGTAATTCATCATGCTCTCTTTTGCCAAGAAAGTTCAAAAAGATTCAAGGTTGATTCAACTAGTTTGACCTAATTGAGAAAATGTTTGATTCAGTGATCACAAGTGCATAATTCTTTCAATTTTCAATATTTTGAGTTGGTTCTTTTTGCTATGGATTCTTATCATCATCTACAACAAATTTTCTTCACATGACAAGATCCAATTGTGCAAGAAAAATCATCAAAAGTTGTAAGGGGTTTCGAGTCCTTTTGACACTCTCTAAGCTAGGGTTTTTTGACTTCCAAGGACCATATCTTACTCATTTTTTGAGATTTTTGATTGACTCCAATGCCATGATTCTCTTTAAAGAGTCCTTAACAAGTTCTCTTCAGGGATCTAAGACAAATTTTGAATGAAAGATCACTAAAGGTTGAGAAAGATTACAAGTCTCTTTGAAAAGCCTTTGAATTTTAGGATTTGACTTCAAATGATCATAGTTTGGTCAATTTTTATCTTCTTGAGCCTATTCTTTTTCCCAAATAATCTTTTGGATGTCAACTACAACTTTGATTCAATATGCAAGACTTGAAAATACTTGGAAAGTTGTTGAAGAACTGAAAAGATTATAGGTCTTTTGTGAATTTTCCCAAATTTGTTCATCATCTTCCAAAGACCACAACTCTCTAAATTTTTATGACTTTTGAGTGATCTCAATTCCAAAATTCAATTCAAGAGGTCTACTTTATTTCATCTTCAGATATCAAGACCAAATTTTGAGTGGAAGGTCATGTAATTTTGAAGAACATTATAGGTCATTTTGAGGTCACATACTTAGAAATATTTCTAAGTACAAAAGTCAATTTGTTTTTCACGAATTCAAGAGGACATAACTTCCAGCTCAATTATCCAAATGGAGTCTTTCTTGGCACATTCTAAATATTGTGACCTTTTCTTTTAAATACTTCAAGAATCATGTCATAAAACCCCCTGAGTTGTGTGCACCATGGATTCAAAGTTAGTACATTGGAACTGAAGTTTCACTTACATTCAGATTGCAATTTCCATAATGTGACTTCTAATGATCAAATTTGTGCATGTTTTTCACTTAAACATGATTAGAAAATATGTCTTAAGTATTTAAAGTGTCAAAATGTATCATTTGGATGAATTTTGATGCACATGTGATCATACTTTCTTCATGACCACAGGTGTGCACGATTTCCACTCAAATTGCACCATTCACCCCTCATCTTGATTCCATTCACTTCTCATATAAATACAAACCATATTCCGCTCATTTTAGCAAGCTTGGATAGTCAAAATCACACTGTCAAACTCTCTCCATTGCTCATAATTTTGAGTTTTCGAATTCACTCTTCCCTTGTTTTTCAATCCAATTTCTTTGTTCATTCTTCATCCTTGAACTTCACTGAAGCTAACAGAAGAAGAACCAAGCTTTGAGGTGTCCTAAATCGTGCTATCCAAGTCAAGTTTAAGAGCTATGAAGTTGAGCTTGAACAGGTAGATTCCTCCATCAATTCTCTCCAAACTTGTTACTACAATGTAGCTCTCATCAATCTGATGCTCATAGCATCATTTGTTTTTAACTGGAAGTGTGTTTTTCTCATGAATTTTCGAATCCCTTTCCAACTTTTTTCTTCTGGTTTTTCTCAAATGATTGAGTTGTGGTTTAAAGAATTTTTTCGCGAAGGTACCATTAGAATCGTCTTGAAGAGACGAAGAGAATAACATTGGTCCGAGGCTCTAAATTTACAGTTTGAGGAACGTGATTTTAAGGTTGGCTAGAGGTTAAAGACGACCATGTTGGCGTCTTCAACCAATGAGAAATTGCCACGCGTTTTTTCAAATCTGTTTTTAAATAATTGATCCAGTGTGTTATTCACTAATGACCATGATATACATAGCGCGTTTGATTCTTTAGATTAGCTTACTAACACGTTTGATATTGATTCAATGGTCCACATTATTTTAGTTTTATTTTTATTTTCTAAACTTCAAAAATTCATTAAAAAAGTCATTTCAACCTCTAAAATTGTGAAATAATTCTCAAAAATACTTTTGATTTTTCTCTGTGCTTTTTATTTTTTCACAATTTTATTTTGTGATTTGGTATTTTTAATGATAATTCACTTTATTTGAATTATTTGAATTGTTTAAAAAAAATACTTTTCTTGATATTTAAATTCTTAAAAAATTATGGAAGAATCCAATGACCTCTTGACAAATATTGGTAACCTAATTTTATTTTTATTTTTGATTTTAATATTTTTCACAAACTATGGCTTATTTTTCTTATTTCTTTATATTTTAAAAATAGTTTCTGACTTTAAAAAATTCTGAAATTTTTTGTCAACACTTATTGACTCATGTTTGACTTCTGATATTTTTTTAGGATTTTTATTTGGTGTTTTAATACATGTTGTGTATTTTTTGATTGGTCCTGATTTGGAGACACCTGAGAGTTTTTTTTGAGACAAGTTCCTCAACCTCATTGGATCTTGGATGTTGATAGGTTGAAAAACTAAATCTACCAAAATGGATGAATGATGATTGTAGCGGTAGAAATGTTCAAGACTAAGTCATTGGATTGACTAGACTTTATACAAATCAAAATAAAAATCGCCACCACGCTTTATTGTTTCCAAAGGAATGAGAAAAGAGCGAATAACCCAAAAAAAGGGGAAAGATTCAAGGTAAGGGGGTTGGTTATGCAAAGGGAAGGTATTAGCACCCTAAACATCTACGGTACTCCGCAGGAACCTCTTTGAAAAATCTGTATATTGTGGCTATAAAATATGTTGTATGTAAAATGGATTGTGGATGTGAGAAAAGAAATATTTTTATGATTTTTGCATCCACTGCGGTTGCGAACCTTTAGTGCCTACGTACCACCTTTCGTGCAATAAGGGATCAGGGTACACGTAGTTCCTCTTTTAAAAATTTGAAACACAAGTGTGTTGGTTAATTTTATGAGATAAGACATCATCGTCATTGTCCGTGTGGAGAACATACTTACTACCAACAATCATGAGAAAGGAGAATTTGCATCATCTCAAAGTAGAGGACATGGCTTGGATTTTAAAATCAACAATGCCTCACTCAACACCCAAGTGGATAATATCTCTCTTTACTACATATTGTAGAAGTATATTTGTTTGCATCACTACAAGGATTGACAAGAGCCTAATCTTTTAAGAAAAGTTTTAAAATAAAAAGCCAAAGTGCCAAAAATGGTTTGAAATGAGATTGATTGACTTTTAGTCTTCTCACAAAAAATGTCAAGGTATTATTAAATTGATTGAAATTTATTTATGAAAATGTTTTGAAAATGCATAGACCTAAGTCCAAGTTTATTATGAAAGTGTTTCAAGTTTAGAAATAAGAAAAGTCTTTTTAAAAGGAGGGAGAAGATTTTTGAAATTAAAGAAGATGGGAGGAGATAAAGAGACTATCCTAAAGCATAAGGTAAAAGCTAGGGATAAGGACCATCTAACCAACAAGAAGCCAATACTTGACATTATGAGTCAATATAGAATTCCCATTCTTTGAATTGAAACCAAGCGAGCAAAGATACTAGACCT